AAAGAGAGAGGTAATTTATGCACATATTTCCCCAAGTCCATGAATCCATGAGATGGAATTTAAAATTATCTAAAATGAAATCACCTTCAAGTTAAACCTTATATCTAAAGATTACTGACCCAAACCCTGGAACATTCTTGATAACATATTGATTACACTATAGAAGACGAATGACATTGACTTCAGGGATGGTTTTTAACTTTCTGGGACAGATTAAATCCCTAGTAGCGCAAATGCTAACTGGACTTCACCTTAGTAGGCTTCTGAATTCAGAAAAGGTTACCCAGAACTTGCCATCTGCTGAAAAATTATAATTGTTTACAAATAATACAATATTCAGGGACTGTAATCCTATCAGAAGGGTAAAATGGCTCAGTGGTTAAAGACCCTGAGCTTGTCAGCTGCAGAGCTGACAGCCCAGGTTCAAAATCCGAGCTCTGGGCAATGAGATGAGCTCTTATTACTTGCCCCAGCTCCTGCCCGCCTAGCAGTTCAAAAGCATGCAAATGCAAGTAGATTAATAGGTACCACAGTAGGTACCTATTAATACAATAGGTGAGAAGGTAACTGTGTCCTTAAGTGTGCAGCAGCTGCCAAAAAAGCCAAGACAGTTCTGGGCTGCATAAAGAGAGGGATAGAATCAAGATCACATGAAGTGTTAATACCATTTTATAATGCCTTGGTAAGGCCACACTTGGAATATTGCGTTCAGTTTTGGTTGCCACGATGTAAAAAAGATGTGGAGACTCTAGAAAGAGTGCAGAGAAGAGCAACAAAGATGATGAGGGGACTGGAGGCTAACACATATGAAGAATGGTTGCAGGAACTGGGCATGGCTAGTTTAATGAAAAGAAGGACTAGGGGAGACATGATAGCAGTCTTCCAATATCTCAGGGGTTGCCACAAAGAAGAGGGAGTCAAGCTATTCTCCAAAGCACCTGAGGGCAGGACAAGAAGCAATGGGTGGAAACTAATCAAGGAGAGAAGGAACCTAGAACTAAGGAGAAATTTCCTGACAGTGAGAACAATCAATCAGTGGAACAACTTGCCTCCAGAAGTTGTGAAGGCTCCAACACTAGAAGTTTTTAAGAGGATGTTGGATAACCATTTGTCTGAAGTTGTGTAGGGTTTCCTGCCTAAGCAGGTGGTTGGACTAAAAGACCTCCAACTCTTCCAACTCTGTTATTCTATTCTATTCTATTCTATTCTATTCTATTCTATTCTATTCTATTCTATTTGATTCGATTCAATTCTCCTTAGCATATAATCATGCTAGCCACATGACCATGGAAATGTCTTCAGACAATGTTGGCTTCTTCAGGCAAGAAGCAGAGATAAGCACCATGTCCTAAAGTCAGACATGAGTGACAGAGAAACCTTTACCTTTATCAGAAGTTAAGGAACAGGATTATATTATTATATTTTCTCCTACTGAAAATATCTTTGCTTACAGAAAGCTGGGGATGGGGGGTGGGGAGTGGAGGTATCTATCTCATTTGTACAGAGTTTAGAAACCCAAGAAGATAAAACACAGGGAAGGGTCTTTATTTACATCAATAGTGGAAACGAAGTTTGTTAATGTCATTAATTTCACAGGTGAGATAAAGACCCCAGCTACGGCAAGCATCTGCATAAGATGCCCCTTTGAGAGCAGATACCTAGCATGTGTATCTTTCAAAATTGTGAGATGTGTGTAAGAGCCAAGCAGTTATAGACTAATAAACCAGTGGTGCTACTATTTTATACTTGAGTAAGCACATCTACAGGAAGGTAGGCACGGTGGCAAACTGCAGTTTGGTTTCCTAGAGGCATCGGGAATAACGAGTTGTTCCTTTTTAAATAACTTCAAGCGATCTGGGAATCCTTAATGTAATTATTTCATTGGATACGTCTCCAATTAGAACGAGGGGGGGGAGGTAAAAAGATAACGGGGTTGGCGGCAGAGACAAAGCCATTATAAAATGAGTCAAAGCACTTCAACATTTCCATCAAGGTTGGAGAGAGAAAGTTCCCTGCATGACCTATTTCACTGGTGTATCTCTTCATTTGGGGAAGGCAGCCTGCCATTTTTTTTTCCACTCCATTTAACTCAGCCCAAACATTTCCTTTCCATCACTTGCCATTCAAATCTATGTAAAAACTCTCTCCGTTTGAACATTTGGCTGTGAATAAAATACATATTAATTCCCACGTAATACATTTTCTACCGTCAGATAGCGTTTCCCTGGAATGCAATTTTCCATCGAGTGAACTTTATTCGCTGCACAGCAAGGTAGATGCACCCACAACAATCTCTTGTCAGATTTATTCATTATCCAAGGCAGTGGGATTTCAGCCACACTAGATGTTTTTGTACTGAGAGCGCCTAATTTATACATGTGTCCCTCCTATGTAACATGGTGCTACATAATGGGAACGGAATGAGAAATAACACAATTGTTTGGATTGTCCTTTGGCTTGTGATGAGAAAAGCAATTATTGCACAGAGGTTTTATAAGAGAAGGAGATGGAACTTCCATATTAAGAGTCATTATAGCTTTAATGCCTCTGATCTTCACAATTTCCTTGTCTATTCAGAGGGATCTCCTATCTGCCCTTGGGAATTGATATAATCTACTAGAACTTGAACTCATTTGCTAGAAGTTTGATTTCCATTGTTTAAGGATACTAAATACACTTTAAGAAATTACATTTGAAAACACATCTTACGAAAAAAAAAAAACATTGCAAGAGAAAGCTATTAAGGTAAAGGTTCCCCTCACACATATGTGCCGTTCCCGATTCTAGAGGGTGCTACTCATCTCCGTTTCAAAACTGAAGAGTCAGTGCTGTCCGAAGACGTCTCCGTAGTCATGTGGCTGGCATGACTAAACATCAAAGGCGCACAGAACACTGTTACCTTCTCACCAAAGGTGATCCCTATTTTTCTACTTGCATTTTTTATGTGCTTTCGAACTGCTAGGTTGGCAGAAGCTGGGACAAGTAATGGGAGCTCACCCGTTACGTGGCACTAGGGATTCGAACCGCTGAACTGCCGACCTTTCGATCAACAAGCTCAGCATCTTAGCCACTGAACTGGACACACCTAAATGCAATGTTTCATGCTGATTTCTTTAGTGGGAACAATGGGATAAATCAGACGTATGAATGACCCTCTATGGTTGTGTCATGGTCAACCCAAGAGATAGCATGGGTCACTAGTACACTGTATATATTTTAGCAAGAAGGTTGTGGATTCAATACCCAGTATCTTTAGGAAGAGCTGGGGAAATTTCTGGAAAGCAGTGTTGACAATCCTGGACTAAATAAACAAATAGTCTGACCCATTTATAAGGAAACGTCTACTGTTTACTATCTTCTGTGGTGGTAGAACATCTGATGCTAAGAAGAATTCCACTCAGAAACCATGAGGAGCAGGGGTGGGCTTCAAAAATTTTAGCAAGGGGTTCTCTGCTGGGTTGCTGGGTGGGCATGGCCATGATGGGCGTGGCCTAGTCAGCCTCCTGCACCACGGTGGAGGGGGGGGCTTTTCTTGAGCCTCTGGGAGGGTGAAAATGGCCTCCCCAGGCTCTGGAGGCTGGAAACGCACCCATTTCTGGCCTTCCTGAACTTCTGGTAGGCCTGTTTTTCACCCTCCCCAAGCCTCCATGCGTGCCCTGCACTTATCTGCATCCAAAATGGGCCACGTGGGGACTCCCGGGAGGAGAGTGGTGGGGTGGGATTTGGGGGTTCTCTGAACTGCATAGAATCTTAACTAGAGGTTCTCCCGAACCCCTACGAACCACCAGCAGCCCACCCCTGATGAGGAGTCATTGCCAATCAATGTCACTGATAGTGAGTAAGATGAATAATGAAACACTGGAACCAGGCTAGAACATCCAGATGATGTTATATGAGGGGAAGAATTAAGGCTTCTCAATCTGTCACTACAGTTTTATATAAAAAAAAATTCTTATAGAATGCCATTTTTATTTTTCATTTATTAGTCCTCTTAGCAAGGACCTCGCCCGCTTCAGCCTCTTGAGCAAAATAATTTGTTATCCCAGGTAGCACCTTCTGATCCTAGAGTGTGATCTAGACCAGTGATGGGATTCAAGTAATTTAACAACCGGTTCTCTGCCCTAATGATTTCTTCCAACAACCAGTTTGCCAAACTGCTCAGAAAGTTAACAACCGGTTCTCCCGAAGTGGCACGAACTGGCTGAATCCCACCACTGATCTAAATCAAGGGAGCAATCTCATTTTCCTTCCTTCCTCTTCTTCAGCTACCTGCTAGAACTCCCGTAGTTTTTTTTTTTCAGATTAAGTCAATTTATAGGCTACAAAGAAAACAGCAACAACAACGAGAAAGCTGGTACCACAAGGCACAAGATTGACGAGCTAATAATCTGTGTCCATTTCTCTCCTAAAAACCATCAGCATCAATTATGGTGGCAGCTGTAATTGTGTTGTCTCCTGGCAAGGAAAAGAGTGACACCAACATTGTTCTAACAAGTCAAGAGGTACCATCCTTAGATGTGACACCATTCAATATGGAAAAGAGGCGAAGCATCTCCTCCTAGAAATAATATGTGTAAGGTAGGGGGGAAAAACATGTGCCAATGAATACATGTTGTAATTAGTTGTAACTAAATAATTAGCAACAGAAAACACCTTCAGGAAAGAAGTCAGAACTGTTCTTTCTATGCCTACCTAGGTAGATTGACCTCACTTAGCACCTATTATCAGGCATTTTCCAGGTGTCTTACTAAATTCTGTACTGCCAAGATATCCAGGACTTGACATAGCTATATTTTGCTCATTTTACTGCAGCAGTGGCAATGCAATAGCAATTGCTTAGGAGATTAATTAACTTGTCAAATAATTAAGCAGACAGCGCTGTAATTGAGGTTTTGGTTTCATAATTGATTTATCACTTTTCTAGGTCTGAAATCCCTCCAACAATTTTGGTGGAGGAATTAAATACTACGTTATCTCACATTTCAGTTCTAAGATCTTACCCATTTTCCAAGACTTTTCTCTATTAGATCCGTCTTCTTTTCCTCCTTTCCTCCTTTTTTCTTTTCCTCCTTTCCTCCTTTCTTCTTTTTTTAGGAAGATTTTGGAGAGAAGGTTTTCTATAAGGAAACAAAAATAACTATCTACCATTTCTTTGGCAATCTAAGCAAAATGGTTTCGATAACCCAGTTAAAGATTTGGCTCTTAAACTCTCTGGGAAAGATATCCTTTTGTTAAATTAAACAGCAGTGAATCTGATAGATAATTGGTGCTTGCCTTAACTTTTATATATGTCAGCAATTAAGACTGAATTGAGATGCCCTCTTGATGATTCACAATTGTCAGTCATTCACTATTTTAGCACGATCCTCAAAGGATATTTTCAATACAGGTATTCCAGTTATGAAATTCCTCCCTGCCCAATTACAACTGGCACTGAATCTAATTAGCTTTCAGTGTTAATTGATATATTACAGAGAGATCCTTGACAATGAGGTTCACCAAACACAGTAAGACTTACTTCTGATATACAATAAAAATAGCAATAGCACTTAGACTTATATACTGCTTCACAGTGCTTTACAGCACTCTCTAAGCGGTTTACAGAGTCAGCGTATTGCCCCTGACAACCTGGGTCCTCATTTACTGACCATGGAAGGAAGGCTGAGTCAACCCTGAGCCGGTTTGGGATTGAACTCCTGGCAGTGGGCAGAGTCAGCCTGCAATACTGCATTCTAATCACGGTGCCACCAGGGTTCTTACATGTATGTGACTAACAAAATTTAATCCTAAATGGACTCTGGAAAGCAAACCCAAATGAAATGTACCGAAACAAAATATGTGAGAATAAATTTAATACCATCAATTTCGTAGGAAGGCAGCCAATTTCATTTATTTGCGAAATGCAAGGAAGGTATCTTCAATAAAAAGAAGTCCCAGAAAATGGCAGCAAGCACGAAGAAGGCATGTTGTCTTGTCCATGTTCCATGTAACTTAAAAGAAAGGGTGTGTGGATCTCAACAGCCCCTACTATTAATCTTCTCATCGTTCCCACCACCCATCCCCTTCCACTTATGACTGTATGACTGTAATTTTGTTGCTTGTATCCTTACAATTTATATTGATATTGTTTACTAATTGCTTATTTGTACCCTATGACTATCATTAAGTGTTGTACCTTATGATTCTTGATGAATGTATCTTTTTTTTTATGTACACTGAGAGCATATGTACCAAGACAAATTCCTTGTGTGTCCAATCACACTTGGCCAATAAAAAATTCTATTCTATTCTATTCTCTCTAGATATCCAGACCACATAAAAGTAAAAGGTAAAGATTCCCCCTCGCACATATGTGCTAGTCGTTCCCGACTCTAGGGGGCGGTACTCATCTCTGTTTCAAAACCGAAGAGCCAGCTCTGCCTGAAGACATCTCCATGGTCATGTAACTCAACACCAAAGGCACACAGAATGCTGTGACCTTCCCACCAAAGATAGCCCCTATTTTTCTACTTGCATTTTTTACGTGCTTTCGAACTGCTAGGTTGGCAGAAGCTGGGACAAGTAACGGGAGCTTACCCCGTTACGCGGCACTAGGGATTGGAACCGCTGAACTGCCGATCTTTTGATTTATAAACTCAGCGTCTTAGCTACTGAGCTACCACGTCCCTCCAGACCACATAGACAGATTCAATTCCAGCAGATTGAGTTCTTGGTGTATTGGAGAACTGTGCTATGGAGGGATGTGAAATGAACGATCAGCGATTTGAATTGGGCCCAGGAACATACTGGTGAGCAATGAAAGAACATCAGCATTGCTGTGTTTAGTCGTGTAAATGGGGTTGTATCACCAGCTGCTATATATTATACCAGCTGCAGGTTCTCGCTTATCTCCAAGGAAAGTCCCACACAGGAGAAAACTGTGCATTATTAAATCAGTTTCGCTTGATTAGACAAACTGGTTGGGCATGATAGAAATTATACTCCAGTGTTCTTAGTACGGGGGGAAATCTTTTATACGAGCTTTCTTTTGAGAAAATGAAGGTTACTCGCATAAAAGGCTGACAACAAGTGCAGCCCTGGAATATATATCAAAATCACAAATAAAATAAAGTAGCTGGCAACCTAAATCTGTTTTTAAAAGGTCAGCCTCTAAAATAACGTCTGCCTTCAATTTCATAGGCATTTCATATAAACGAAAAGTCCAATGTATTAAGATGGTAAATGTAGCTATCTAATGTGTCGCTTTAAAAAGTTAGCCTAAAAACTGTCAACTAAACAAAGCAAAACCCATTAAAAAAAGCCAATCAAAACTCCTAAAATTCCAGTTTCGTGAAATCAGCAGGATAAAATTAGCAGCGCTAAGAATAAAAGCCAGACCAATCATTAAACAACACAGACCCATGCAGACACCTGAATGCAAATTCCATGCCTTTAAAAAGAAAGTAGCTTTACAGGGCTTCAAATATAACTTAAAATGATATTTACATGCTATTCCTCAGCTACAGCAACTCATGAACCCTGCTTTGAAGGCAGGCAGAGAAATGGTAGAAAAGGACTTCTTTTTCTTTCTTCTCTTAATCACTCACTATTGATCACACTTTACTGGGCAATGTTCTCCATGTCTTCTCAGAAGACTGTCCCGTTGGGTTCAACTTTGGCCCAAGTCAATTGTCTCATGGGCCACAACCCTTTCTGTCAAGTTTCGAGGTCGTCTCAAATAAATCTGATCAATGGTGGGTTTCAAATTTTTTTACTACTGGTTCTGTGGGTGTGGCTTGGTGGGCGTGGCTTGGTGAGCATGGCAGGGGAAGGATACTGTAAAATCTCCATTCCCACCCCACTCCAGGGGAAGGATATTGTAAAATCTCCATTCCCTCCCCAATCCAGGGGAAGGTTATTGCAAAATCCCCATTTCCTTCCGATCAGCTGGGACTCGGGAGGCAGAGAATAGATGATAGGGAGGTGGGGCAGTCAGAATTTTTACTACCAGTTCTCTGAACTATTTAAAATTTCTGCTACCGCTTCTCCAGAACTGGTCAGAACCTGCTGAAACCCACCTCTGAACCTGATGTTCTAGAGCCAATATATCCCCCTGCTGTGTGGCTTTCAAAGACTTCAAAAAAGGATTTAAGCGTCATTCAGTTCAAATGTGACCCTGGATGGCTGACAAGGATTTAATAATACAAGAGCCGTGGTGGCACAGCAGTTAGAATGTGGTATTGCAGGCTAACTCTGCCAACTGCCAGGAGTTCGATCCTGACCAGTTCAAGGTTGACTCAGCCTTCCATCTATCCGAGGTCAGTAAAATGAGGACCCAGATTATTTGGGGGCTATATGCTAGCTCTATAAACCGCTTAGAGTGGGCTATAAAGCATGGTGAAGCGGTATATAAGTCTAAGTGTTATTGCTATACAATTATTTTTAATTGATTTATGTCATTGTTGATTCGTGGCAACTTGCCTGAACAACTCCCTGCAGTTTTCTTAGAAATATGAAGGGAGGGAAACGGGTGGCTAAGAAATAGGAAATTGAATGAATGAATGAATGAATGAATGAATGAATGAATGAATGAATATTTCAGAACTGGTTTGCCATTGCCTCCTTCCTAGGGTTGAGGAGAGAGTGACTGGCCCAAGGTTACCCAGCTGGCTTTGTGCCTAAGATGAGACTAGAATTCATGATCTCCCAGTTTCTAGCCTGATGCTTTAATTTCTACATCAAATTGACTCTCAACAACATAAATACAATGTATGAAGAAGACAGTTCTTGGTCAAGTGAATGCAAAGTAACTCTCCAAAACACCATATAATATCAGCAAATGCTCAATTATCCACCTGGCCTGCTTAAAAACAAGTTTTTAAGGGTTCCTGAAAGGTGAGCAGAATCAGGACCATCAACTCTCAGGTGGTGTTTATTTATTTATTTATTTTATTTTATTCAATTTGTATCCCACCCTTCTCCTAGTGGACTCAGGGTGGTGCACAGCCAGAACTAAAACACTTAACAATACAAAATTTAAAATTTTTAAAAGAATTAGAAGAATTCTTGTGGTGGTGTTCCATAGGGAAACCACAGAGTTTATCATTGCCATTGTTCTGTGTTTTATTTCCTGGTGATCTCCATCTGGCTCTCTTGGCTTTTTGAGATGACTCATTCAGTTAAAAAAACCTCTTTTTTTTTTCCAAATCAGGCTTGGTTTCTGGTGACATCATGTGCAGTTTTCCTGACATCGGTTTAGAATGGTTTCTATTGCATTGCCATCTATCAGAATGCTTTTTTGATATATATTTTTAAACTTCTCGATCAAAGTTAAATTCCTTTATTTTGGTAATTGGCCAGCCGTATATAACTGTTTTTTCTGCTTCTTTGAATCACTGCACTTTGAATCAATTAATTATTGTTTTCAATTCTTGTCTTGATTGCATTAGTCTGAATAGTTTGCTCTTGTGCAGCCAAAATCCAGTTGTAAGCATTGCCAGGTTTTATCTATGGCTGCTTACTACAGTTAGTTCTGCATGGCTTTCAAAATTCAAATGCTCAGTTAAAACAATTAAACAATAAAATAAATCAGAGAACCTGGATTTCTTGACGTCTCACATGCGAGAACTAAACCTGACATAGCTTCCAAGCACAAACAAGCTCATTGGACAATTATGGCCTGTCTCTTTCCCTTTCCCACATGGAGATCATGCCTATTCATTTTAATTTGATAAATATAAAGAAATATAGATGGGGCTTGAGAGTGAGAAGCAGTGAGTAACTCATTAAAGGGAGAGGTTTTTTAAGAAATACTCCGCTATGGAAAATAAAATAACCCAGTCTTGGTTTGATTTTCTTTTGGTAGAAATAGCTTCCCAGATTTTGTGGTTGCATGCAACCGTAATAAAGAATATTCCAGGAAACTCTGCCATTCTTTTTTTTTTTTATTTGATTTATATGCCGCCCTTCTCCGGAGACTCAGGGCGGCTTACAATGCGCTAAGCAATAGCCTTCATCCTTTTGTATATTTATACAAAGTCAGCTTATTGCCCCCACAACTGGGTCCTCAATTTACCTACCTTAGAAAGGATGGAAGGCTGAGTCAACCTTGAGCCTGGTGAGATTCGAACCTGCAGTA